AGGTGTGTTCGTTGAGATCGAGAGCAGCTTTTATTCAGGTGTTCCACAAGCACAGGCGTGTCAGCTACTGGCGGTGGGCGACAGGTAAAGTGATGCAAACTGACTGAAACCACTCGCCCCCGAGCATGTTGCTTAGGAGGCAGTGCTGAGGTGACACACACCTTCCTCTTTCCGTGTCTTTCGTTCTGGTCTTTGTCCCTTTGCTGTCATCGCAGCATTGGCCACACATAGCCACACACCCTCTTCCTTCTCTGAGTGTGAGGGTTACCTTTGTACAGCCTTGAATGTCACTGGGATTGTCCCTTCCCTAAGTCACACTCCTGGGCCACTTGGAGCTGAGTCATCAAGAGTCACAGCTTCATCCTGGGTTGAACCTGGACGATGACAGATAGGTCCAGAGCTCCTTTAGCCATTATTTAATTTACTGTTTTTGATTATGGAGGTAACTGAAATACCCAGGAATTCTGCTTATTGGGATTATATTTTCACCTAGTTCAATTGCTTAGATGTTTTATTTCCTAGGAAGGTGTTATGGAAATAAAGATCTGACTTGGTTAATAACCAAGGGAATACAAATTGAAACCCCATGAGGAATGGTACTTTACTCGTCAAATTGGGAACAGTTTTAAGGTTGAATAGCAGTGTTGACCCCAGGGTGCAGAAGCAGGCGCTGCTGACAGGCCCCTGAGCACCGGGGACAAAGCACAGGGTGTGAGGCCGGCCCAGCTTTGTGTGCCCCTCAGCTGTGTCCGTGCACACTTCTCCTCACCACCACCACCCCCCGCCTGTGAATGGGGCAACAGCCGTACCTGTCTCACAGTCGCCGTAGGATAGACTAGTTCACAGACCTAAGTGCCGAGAATGGCACACTGCACAGACGCAGTACAACAACGTACAAGTCTAGTGAATGAAAAAATAAGACTCACACACTGTTAGTGGTAGTCTTGTTGGAAGGTATTTAGACTTTATTAAAAATTTTAATGTACTTTTTTTTCTTTATTGATGTGAGAGAGAGAGAGAGAGGAAAGGAGAGGTAGACAGAGATAGAGACATCATTGAGAGAGAACATCAACTGGGTGCCTCCTGCATGCTCCCCACCGGGGATCCGGCCCACAACCTGCGCATGTGCCCTGACCGGGAATCGAACTGGTGACTCCTTGGTGCATGGGTCGATGCTCAACCCCTGAGCCACACCAGCCAGGCTAAATGTACGTATTTATTATTCCAGTCCCTTTCTCATGATGTATCTTACAGAAATATTTCCAGCTGTATAAAAATTAAGTGGAATAAAATAACTGATCATATAGTCACATTACTGAATACCATCTAACAATGAAGAGAGGTCAGTTCAGTGTGTGCACAGTTCACATACTACACATGCACACTCAGATGGAAAGACCTACAAGGTGTATTTAGTGAAAAAGCAAGTTGCAGAAGAATGCACATATTGTGGTCCTGCTTGCTTTCCTTTGAATATAAATTATTTGTGTACAAACATATTTTATATGTAAATGTACATCACAGAAACTTGAACTTCACAGATTGAGGTGTTGGTGGCGGCTGCCTGTGTGTGGGGGAGGGTAAGCAGGAACTTTTGCCTTTTGCTGTGTGTTCTTGCACAGTGTTAGACTTAATGAGACAAGGATGTGCTCATATCATTTGTTTCCAAATGTCATAAAGCCCGGCCAGTGTGACTCAGTGGTTGAGCGTCGACCCATGTACCATAGAGGTCGCCGGTTCGAGTCCTGGTCAGGGCACATTCCCAGGTTGTTGGCCAGATCCCCAGTGGGGGGCATGCAGGGCATGCAGCCAATCAATGTTCTCTCCCATTGATGTTTCTATCTCTCTCTCCCTCTCCCTTCCTCTCTCTAAATAAAGAAAAAAAAAATTTTTTTAATTTCATAAAAAGAAAAGTTCCCAGTGAACTAAAAGGTGCTCAGTCTTCTAGGCCAGAGGCTGGGAAAGTGCCAGGCAAGGACACAAGTGAGCCCAGGGCAGGGCCTGGGTGTGGATCTCTCCAAGCCCTCCACTCACACGGCAGCTAGGTTAGCGTTTCTAATCTCTGTCTCTCTTTTTTTAATCCTCACCCGAGGATATTTCTCCATTGATTTTTCAGGTAGAGTGGGAGAGAGGAAGAGAGGGAGAGACATCGATTGGTTGCCTCCCACAGGACCCCGACCGGGGCCAGGGATCGAACCACAACCAAGGTACTTGCCCTTGACTGGAATCGAACCCATGACTCTTTGGTCGGAGGGCCAACGCTCTAACCACTGAGCCAAGCCAGCCAGGGCAACGTTTCTAATCCTTGACGTGAGGGAGGGAGTAGTGGTGCCTGCAAAGGTTTGTGGATTAAGTGAGTTGGTATGTGTGAGGGCCCAGGCAATTCGAGACACATAATTGTCAAGTAAGCAAAACTTTGTCGTCAGGCAGGAGGCGCTGTGGCGGGTGGGTCCTGCAGAAAAGCCTCGGGGACAGAACCGGGTCTGTCATCTGTGGTGAGGGGGGTACGAGGCCAAGGGCTGCGTCTAGGAATGCACACGCTCCTGCTCTGCCTTTTCGCACATCTGCCGAGAAACAAGCCGGGGTCTGCGTTGTCTCCGACCCTCAGGGACTCTGTCAAATATACTCATAGTGGTAGGGGGTGAAGTAACGCAGGATTAGTGTCATTGGTTGACATTTTAAGTGAGGATTCTCAGTCTTTTGTAACAATCATTTTATGGAAGTTATTGAAAATTTCCTTTAACAAATGCAGCTCTAATGTAAGGTGTTTAATTATGACCTTTCAGAATCTTGCTTCTCATTTACCATTAAACACAAGAAAGTGGGTCTGGTAACTAAGACAACAGATGGTGCACTGTCACTCAGGGTGACCTCATCCTAACTGTATCTGCAGAGCCCTCCTTCCCAGTAAAGCCACATTCAGAGTTCCGGTGTTAGAACTAGGACATAGCCCTGGCTGGTTTGGCTCAGCGGTTAGAGCATCAGCCTGCGGTCTGGAGAGACCCGGGTTCAGTTCCCGCTAAGGGCACGTACCTCGGTTGCAGTTTGTGCCCGGCCCTGGTTGGTCATGCGGAAGGCAGCCACTCGATGTGTCCCTTTCACGTCGATGTTTCTCTCTCTCTCTCTCTCCTCCTCTGTCTCCCTCCCGCTCTACCTGAACAAAAAAACAAAAAAATGTCCTTGGGTGAGGATTAAAAAAAAGAACTTGGACATATCTTTTTGGGGACACAGTTCAACCCACAACTAAGGCTCACGAATTCTGACTGTCCTCTGGATCTTGGCCAGGTGCTGGCGCAGGTGATGAGTGCTGGCAGTAGGGGACCCTTCCTCTCTTCACTTCAAAGTTCTGATGTGTTGAGTCTTTGGAAAAGAAAAGGCCAGGGCAATAGTATAGACTCCAGCATCTGGAGCTCATGTCCACGTAGTTTCTGTGGCCTTTATTATGTGAGCAGACTTCCATTAGGTGGGCTCTGCCCCCACACACACCTTTTTTTTCCTTTTTAAACCTCACTTGAGGATGGATATATATATATATATATATATATAATTTTTTTTTTTTTTTTTAATTTTTAGTGAGAGAGGGACATTGATGTGAGAGAACATCGATTGGTTGCCTCCTATATGTGCCCCAACTGGAGATCGAACCCACAACCTTTTGGTGTACAGGACGACACTCCAACCAACTGAACCACCCGGCCAGGGCAGCTCTGCCCTTTTGATTGCTCCAGAATAATTCTGTTTCCAAGTCTTTTATGCTTCTCTTTTTATTTATCTTTTATTGAACTATAACTGACACATAACATCTACTTTTTTTTAATATACACTAGTTACTTCATTCAAGTGAGACCTCCTTTTGTGAATTTTAACTTCCATGTTTCCCTGCTTATGCTTGTAGGTTCGTGATATTTGGAAGCCCAATAGCAAACTCCTGTTTTTATAGTCCAGTCTTTAGATCCTAAAACTACATTAAACATTTATAGACGGAAAATTACAGAAATAATACGTTTACCTAGCTCCCTTGGAATAATCTTTAGTTTGTGGGGATAAAGCCCATAATCTTGGAAATAGTTCATTCGTTTAGTTCAGTCATACACCTATTGCTAGAGACTGCTGGGGGCGGGGGACAGCAGTGACCAGGAAGTTGAGACCGATGGAAGAGCCCCCTCACAGGTAGTCAGATGGCACCCTCTGTGGAGATGGTGCTGGGAGCAGGTGGGTATTCGAGCCGCCCAGAAGACAGCGTGAGGGGAAGTAGCGTAGACATCTGCGGGAACAACTTCCAGGTAGAGGCCAGGACAAGTGCAGAAGCCCCCGGGTGGGGGCGGGCTGGGCACGGGAGGAGAGTGGGAGTGGCGATGAGGCCAGGAGGGGTGGGGGCAGAGCGTGGAGCCCGTGGGCATGGAGGAGATGGACCGTGGATGCAGTGAAACCGCACTTCATCCAAAACCCCATTTCCCATGACCATAACTTATGTTACAGCACGTCTCTCATCCAGTGTCCCCAGGGACTTGCCATGCAGAATGGCATAGCATCAGTCTCATTTCAACATATGGTTGCGCTTGAGCCTACACCATGCGCATCTGAATTTGAGGCTCGATACGCAGAATCTGTCATTTATATTCAGTGCTATCATCATGTTCTTAGAATCATTACTCTCCCTTTGTAACCATTTCCAAAACTGGAAAATGTGATCTTGCAGAGAAGGGGGTTGAAGAGAGAACTGAACCAGTCAGTCTGGGGCGTATATAAGTGAGAGCAGGATGTTAAGGGAACACTGCTGAGTGTTTTTAAAATATTCTGGAAACCAAGAGGTAGAAGTAGTGGATACTAACATATCAGAAACAGGGTCCCCGACAGCTGAGCCCCTGGGAACGTGGCAGCCAGGTCTTCCAGGAGCCCTGCAGGATGCGGGCGGTTGCCTTCAGTGTGCAGGTGTCAGGTGCGTGTCTGCTTACGAAGACGGCACTGCTTCTACGTACTCAGACGGAACTGTCTTACAGGCCCACGGATGACAGCAACCAGCCCCCAGGCCGGGGCGTCCTCTCCATGCACGGGCTGACTTATGGGGTCATCCGAGTGGACTCGGAAGAAAAGCTGTCTGTACTCACTGTGCAGGACGTCGGCCTAGTGATGCCTGGAGGTGAGTGTGGGCACCGGGCAGACAGTGCCGGAGTCTGGCCAGGGCCCCAGATGTGGGCAGTGGAGGGATCGCTTACCAAATGCTGCCCTGAGAGCATCAGCAGGCGGCTCTCAGTGATGCTTCATTCCTGTCTCATTCCAGTCCCCTCACCTGTTTGTTTAGCTTCACCGTTGGTGGTAATGCTGCCCCTCCTGGTGACAGGAAACCAAAATGTCCCTGAGGCTGAGGCAGGGCTTCCTCTGCACTGGAACCCAGGGCCCCTTCCTATGGGGGTGGTGGGACTCTCTGTACCCCCAGTGACAACTAGTGGCTTCTCCCCTGAGGCTCAGACTCTATCGCTGATCACCCCAACACACTGTGTAGAGCTGGGAGCCAGCTAGCCGGGTAGCAGATGAGTGAACACAGGAATGGGGTCTGGGTAGTTAGTGAAACTTGTTTTAGCAATAGAGCCCTTTTTAAAAGTCACAGAAACCATCTCCAGAAACGAGCAGAGAGGATCCCTGATTGAAGGATCCGCCCTGCAGAACCCCACCTGCCCTCCACCCCTTCCCTGCACTTGGGCACCTCTTGTGACTTCATAAGGCTCCGGGAAGCTCAGGGAGACTGGCTAGGCTGGCAGGAGAGGGGAGCCCACCCTCTGACTTGCAGAATACCCTTACCTGGTCCTGCTTCTCCTCACACGCGTCCCTCTCTCAGGATGCTCGTGAGCACTTAGATCCCCGCAGTGGAGTGGGCCCCCTTTTCAGGTGCAGGTTCCACTTGAGCACTTGAGTCTGGACCTTCTCCTGATGAGCCCTGCACACACAGGAGTTCAGTCTCCCTGGTAGGGGGCGGTCACATCCAGGCACAGAGCAGCCCCGCAGATGCACACGTGCACTGCACTGGAAATCGGCATAGCTTCCTCACACCCAGCACATGCCATAAGCACGTGTAGGTGCAGGGCCCATGTGGAGCCCATGGGAGCATCCCCAGGGCCCCTCTGCACCGGGATGTGAGCTGGCCCAGGCTTCCTGGACGTCACCTTGGCTGTCCATAGAGTCTCTTTCTTCTTGTACCCCTGGTGTCACAGAAACTGCTTAAACACTCAAACCCTCCACATGCTCTATGTCTCAGGCCCACCGCACACTGTCAGCCTTAGTTAGGCTTCCTGGCTCCTTTTCTTTCCTTCTTTAAAAAATTTTAAGAGACATATGAAAAAATGTTCAATGTCACCAATCATCAGAGAGATGCAAATTAAAATGACTGTGAGGTATCACCTCGCACCTGCCAGAATGGCCGCCATCAACAAATCATCAAACAACAAGTGTTGGTGAGGGTGTGGAGAAAAGGGGACTCTAGTGTACTGCTGGTGGGAATGCAGACTGGTGCAGCCACTGTGGAAAACAATATGGTGTTACCTCAAAAAATTAAAAATTGAACTTCCATTTGACCCAGTGATCCCATTTTAGGAATACATCCTAAGAAGCCTCAAATATCAATCAGAAAAGAATATATGTACTTCTGTGTTCATAGCAGCACTACTTACAATAGCTAAGATCTGGAAACAGCCAAGTGCCCATCAGTAGATGAGTGGATAAAAAAGCAGTGGTACATGTACACAATGGAGTACTGTGCAGCTGTAAGAAAGAACGATCTCTTACCTTTGAGACAACATGGAGAGAACTGGAGAGTATATGCTAAGCAAAATAAGCCAATCAGAGAAAGACAAATATTGCACGATCTCACTTATTTGTAAAATATAATGAACAAAATAAGCAGATGAACAAAATAGATGAGGAGACATGGAAATAGGGAACAGACTGACAAATCTCAGAGGGAAGGGGGGTTGAGGGGAAGAGCTTACATGCATGTATGCATGACCAGTGGACACAACAATGGTGTGGTGAGGGTGGAGGTTGGGGGGCAGGGAGAGGGGAGGAAGGTGGCAATGGGGGGAAAAGGAACTCTTTCAGACTTCCAACAATAAAGATAATAGTAAAATACTACAATGAGATACCCCCTTCAAAAAATTTATTTTCTTTTTCAAATTGATAATAAATACCTGAGGTTTTAGCCTCAAAACATTCAGGTTAATGATGCAATGATAAAACTTCCTTTCTGGCAATAACGCTTCCTTTCAGAAATACTCTGGGGACTCTCTCTCTCTCTCTCTCTCTCTCTCTCTCTCTCTCTCTCAGAGACATACATATGTTCTCTGTGGTGGGGTGTTTTTTTTTTCCTATTTCATGTAATACACGTAATGAGAGCACTGTGGGTTTTCTCTCTGTTCAGCGTGGCATGACTCCGGGCATTCAGTCTGGCATCTTAGAGCTTGTCCGTCAGGGCGTGAAGAGCTCTCCTTCCAGGCCATGTGGCGTGTGGTGTTTGACTAGGTGTAGTTTATTCAATTCATTCCGCTCCCCAGCGGTGGTGCAGCTGGTGCCGCTGAGCTGGGGTGCCACGAATAACTCTGTGCTTCATCTGCACAGATGTGAGGGTGACCATGTGGAAAAGTTCTAGAAACGATTTGCTTCTAGGGCAGATGCCCATGTAACTACTAATATTGTGTCCTTTGGAAAAACTGTAAGGATTAATGTCCTACCGCTAGTGGGGGATGACCCTCTCTCCACTCCCTCCTCCCCAGGGGTTCGTCACACTTTTTGATGTTTTATGTGATGGGTGAAGAATATTTTGGCATAATTTTATTCTGAAATTTTCTCCCCGTGAGTGAGCTGACTGTCTCCTGCATTTTGTCGGCTCTGTTTCTTAGACGTAGTATGTTCTGTCACCTTAACTCCAACACAGGGTGACGGGGCCAGGCTCTTCCCAGTCAGCCCAGCCGTCCAGACACGCCTCACCTCACCAGACCGCCAGCTCCCACTCAGACCTACGGTCTGCGGTGGCCGATGCAGGGTGCGGTGTCCTGACAGCATCGGCCACTGACCAGTAAAACTTATAATCGCTGAATTTTATGCTGACATGGTCATCTGTGACGCTCTCAACCAATATTCTCTGAAGGGCCCGGCTTGACAGAGAATCTGAGATCAAAGATCACAGTTCCCACGGGAAGCTGGGGCCTTCCACCCGGAAGAGCTCGAGAGGCTGTAGGGCGAGTGTTTTGTGCGGCGCAGGTGGCGGAGTTGAGGTTGCGTCCGGGAGGCTGCGTGCGTTTTGCTGATGGGGTGGCTGTAGCTGATGACCCCAGCTTACTCTGAGTGCCATCCTCCTGTCCCTTTACATACGATTCACATGTTAAAACTAAAGCCATTGGAATGACCTGGTGTCCCCATCGTGAAGTTTGACATTTTGCTGCAATATGAAAAGCCATGACTCACCTTTAGGGAGAAGGACTACCTGGCTCATCACCTCCCTGTCGCACTTGTACTTTTGTTCCTGCTCACCTGTGTTTCCACTCGCACTGATCTCTCTGTCTCCATGTATGTCTCTCTCTGTAAGTCTCCCTGCCCCTCGCTCCCACTAACATCTCCTGCTCCGTGTTCACGTTCAGCCATCATGTGCTCCGTGAAGCCGGACGGGATCCCTCAGCTGTGCAGAACGGACGAGATCGGGGAGCTCTGCGTGTGCGCGATTGCTACCGGCACATCCTATTACGGCCTCTCGGGCATGACCAAGAACACCTTCGAGGTAGGTCTGGGAGGTGAGCACCGTTGCCAGGTGCCCAGACCTGAAACATAAGATGGTGCTTTCTCAAGACATTTCTATAGTCATTAAAATGGTTGCATCTTCTCCTGCCATTTGTTACAGTTTTTAATAAATTTGGCTTATGTTGTTTTCACCTTGTAACCAGTGTTGAAAAGGGCATATATAGCTTCTTAAAAATGAGCCTTTTTAATATATCGTTGCCCTCACCTTTCCTGTTGAGTAAGAGCACCGGGGACAGTGGGTGGATGGAGGGACGTGCGCAGGCGGGCACAGCCTCACTGGCAGGGGCCCGAGTCAGCCCCGTTATGGCCGGTCAGCTCAGGCCACACTTGGCTGGGCGTGAACAAGTGTGCACGCTAAATAACTCTTCATATGCAGGTGAATGTGGGGGGGGGTGTGGGTGTGTGGTGTGGTGTGCCTATTATATACACACATGTGATATACTGGTGTGGAGGGTGTATTATGCTATGTGTATACGTGTGTGATGTATGCAGTGTGTACATGGGTGGTGTGGCACACAGATGATGTGTGTATTGTATGCACACATGTATAGCATTAGCACACACACACACACACACACACACACACACACGTTGGCCTCAGCTGCCCGGGAGCCCAGTTGCGCCTGCATGTTCTCAGAGTGTCTGCCATTGACCAAGTGCGGCCTGACCCAGGAGGAGCACACCTTTGTTACGTTATGCACAGGAAAGCCTGAGTTCTTTTGGGGATAAGTTTCTTAATGTCCAGAACTGTGATTTGTTGAATGTAAGTTCACATTTTCAAGACACATATAAATAAAATCCCCATCTCCTTTTCTGTGCAATTCACCTGCCAGGTCTAAGGAAAATAGGTGTAAAGTCTGAACACATGTGATTTGCTTTCTTTATTCTTTTTTAAATCCTCACTTGAGAGTACTTTTCCATTTATCTTCAGATAGAGGGAGAGGGAGAGAGAGAGAGGAAGAAACATCCATGTGAGAGAGACACATCGATTGGTTGCCTCCCGCACGACCCCGACCGGGCCTGGGACCGAACTGCAGCTGAGCTGTGTATCCTTGACCGGACTCAAACCCGCAACTCTTTGTCTACCACCCAATGCTCTAACCGCTGAGCCAAACCTGCCAGGGCTTCCTTCACATTTTTTTAAGTGTAGTTCCAATAAGGGAGACTTTTTGAATGAATAGGGAACATTTCCAAGGAGGAGGGGAAGACGGGCACTCGCGGGCACTCACTGGGCACTCACGGCATGCTTCCCCAGGTGTTCCCCGTGACGAGCTCCGGAGCCCCAGTCAGCGAGTACCCCTTCGTCAGGACAGGCCTGCTGGGCTTTGTCGGCCCTGGGGGGCTTGTCTTCGTGGTGGGCAAGATGGATGGGCTCATGGTGGTCAGCGGGCGCAGACACAATGCCGACGACATCGTAGCCACAGCGCTGGCCGTGGAGCCCATGAAGTTCGTCTACAGGGGCAGGTGAGTGCACCCTCTGTGAACTGAGCGGTTTTCTGTGGGTCACGCTTATCCGAAATGGCATGAGCTCCTTAAACTGGTGAGACTCGGTTTACTCCTTATGCAAAATGAAGCAACCGGACTCTGACTTTGTCATTCCATCTAGTTCTGAATGTCCAGTTTTATAGAGATCTCCTGGGCCCCATAAATATATGTTCTTGAACGTCTCTAAGTTAAATAAAATAATCCATTTGAGAAAGTTAGTTTTAATAAAAAACTATTTCCCAGAGTCGAATATTCATCTTGGTGCAGGTCCTTTCAAAAGACCCACAATAATAGGTGAGCACAGACTTACCAAGGAAACTGGCTCCTACAACTTCCCTCCCCAGTTGTACCCCTGCCTTGCTTGGCACAGGGTCGGTGTTAGTTGACAGCCCCTGTGTTGTTTGCTAATTTGAAGATGGTCATAAACTGCTTTAGCGCCTTGATTCAGTGTTGCGAGTGAAGGGAGTAGGAGACACAGGTGCTCGGATGAGGCATCGCCACCTTCGGATTCTCCTTAACCCTCCGTGAAGCGGCGCTGGGTATTGGAGGCGCCACTGACATGCCTAGTGGAGAACTGTTACTTCGCAAACGCAAAATTCCTCCTGCTCTGAAGGATATCGCTTCACGGGTGCAAATTCACGATGTGACTTGGGTGGTTTTCTAAATTTCAGCAGTTCTCATCATCGCACTGATCCTCCTGTGGGCGCTAAGAGGTAGGGGGGTTGTCCCCAAGCCAGCAGGTGGCCTGGGGGAGTGTGCCATGCACCTCAGAGCTTTGCCAGGCTCCTCCTCTCAGAGCTGCGCTGTCCTTACCCAGCGCATGGGACTCTGACGTCCTGATGGCTGTTCCGGAGCAGCCCTTGGTGCTGGGATCCCCCGAGCCTGTGACCTGGGGCTCTGAAGCTCCTCATTGCAGACTGGTCCCATGCACGCATCTCTGGCCCGAGCTCACTGCGCCTTCCTCTGTCCCTGCAGAATAGCTGTGTTCTCGGTGACCGTCCTGCATGACGAGAGAATAGTGATCGTGGCCGAGCAGCGGCCCGACTCCACGGAGGAGGACAGCTTCCAGTGGATGAGCCGGGTGCTCCAGGTAGCCCTTCTCCTGCCCTCTCCCAGGCCCGCAGCGCTTTCGTAGCATTTGTGAGGATGTGGCCAGCCCCCGTCGACTGCTTCTGTCCCTGACTGTCACCCCATTTGGTCAGAAATCGCATCAACCCTGAAACTTAGATTTGTGGGAGGGCAGCTGTCAGACCAAGGTTAGCGGTCAGGGTTTGCAGAACCGGCTCCTGTGTTCACGCTGAGAGGTCGTGAGTGTATATCTTGAGAGTATGTTAACTTTTCTCCAAACTTCCTTTCTTTTATTATTTTAAATCCTCACCTGAAGATATTTTTCCATTTATCTTCAGATAGAGAGGGAGGGAGGGAGGGAGGGAAGGAGCGAGGGAGGCAGGGAAAAAGAGAGAGAGAAAAACAGAAACATCAATGTGAGAGAGACACACCGATTGGCTGCCTCCCACATGACCCCACCAGGGCCGGGGACAAACCGCAACCGAGGTACGTGCCCTTGACCAGAATCAAACCCGAGACTCTTGGGTCCATGGGCCAACGCTCTAACTGCTGAGACAAACTGACCAGGGCTAAACTACCTTTCTTAGTGTATGCAGTATTCCACAATTCCTCCCTATCGATTTCAACTTGGCGAGGTTTGGCGAGGCAGCCCCTCTGACCCTGGCGCCTGCCCACAGGCAGCACCTGCTTCCGGTGCTGTGGACGATGCTCCGATAGCCTGCACGGGGGCTTGATGTCTCCTCACGGCACCTGTCCTAACAGGCCTCCTCTCTGATTTCCAGGCCATCGACAGCATCCATCAAGTCGGGGTTTATTGCTTGGCCTTGGTTCCTGCAAACACCCTCCCCAAAACCCCGCTCGGTGGGATCCATTTGTCAGAAACAAAGCAGCTTTTCCTGGAGGGCTCGCTTCACCCCTGCAATGTCCTGATGTGCCCCCACACTTGTGTCACAAACCTGCCTAAACCTCGACAAAAGCAGCCAGGTATGGCCAAGGGCTGGGAGGGTTGGTGCCGTGTCTCAGGGGGGCCTTTGCAGCTGGTGGTGTTGGTGCCATGCTCACCAGGCCTCGTGAACTGAGGCGATTCTCAGCTGTTCCTCCCTCCTGGTCTCCACCCCAGAGGAGTGGACCTGCTCCTCGTAAGCGGTGTTGTCTGCAGGGTGGACGCAGCCTCTGCTGGGCCAGCGCAATCCGCTCAGAGCGGGCGTGTACAGACATCCGGAGTGAAGGAGGCCCGGTGTCCCAAGCCTTCTGGGCTGGCGTCAGACCTGCATCTGCTGGTGGCCTCAGCGAAGCGCCGAGTCTCTTGGGGTCCCAGTTTCCTTGCACACAAATGAGAATAATGCTTCTTTGTGTGGTTCATGGGTTAATTTAGGGGTCAGAGCTGCTAACACATGAGAAAGCACTTTGAAAACTGGGGTAAATCCTGCAAACCTGTTGGCGGTATTGTCATGAGAGTGAACATTTGTTTGGTGCTTCACAGTTTAGGGCACACGTAATTACCCATTACCTGACTTGCTCCTCTGGCCGTGAAGCCGACTGTGCTCCTCAGGGTCGCACAGTTTCCAGTGAGGGGAGATTTATCAAGAAGGTGCGTCGTGAGGAAGCAGACCCGCCAGAGCAGTCAGGAGGCCCCCGGCCGCCAGGCTGGGTCTGCAGATGCCGGAGGAGCGAGCTCTGGCGGGGTAATGGAGGGTGCAGCATGTTGTACGTGTTACTCCTCATCTCACGGAGCACAGGGGGGGGGGGGGTGCTCGCGTCTCCTGTCACAAATGACCTGTGGGCCAGAGTGTGGTGGAGACAGACCTAGACCTGGCGGTCACCTGTAGAATGACAGCAGGGGCAGCGTTTGTGGTGAGACAGCTGCAGGCCACATACCCCTGGTGAACACGGGCCCTCCGACCCCGAGGCTCACTCCCCGAAAGCGAGGTTGGGTGAGATAGGTGGGGCAGGTGGTCCTCTCAGTTAATGTGAGGATGTGGATGCCACGGGAGAAAAGTGGTCTTGTCACGAGGAGAGGGTCAGAACTTGAACCCAGGTCTGCGCCCCTTGCTCTTACTGGCGCTGCAGCACAGAGATGTCGCAGCAGTCGGCGTGAGGCTGCACATCGCGGGGCTTTGCACTGTCCTGGTGTGAGGCGATTCTCTTCAATGCCCGGAAAGTCCGTCTGTGCTTTCTGGGCCCATCAGGTTTGCCGGCATCCCTGCCCTTTGTTATTGTCCTGCTTCTGTCTGGTCCGTTATTTTCTTACGTTCTAGATTTCCTTAACTAATATTCCTCCCCATTTTACCCCCTCACCTTCATTTTTTTCTCCCAAACCCTGGTGTATAGGATTGTTGTAGCAAAATGTAGAGTTGTACTGCCCAAAGTCTTCATTGTTTAAATTTTGTGGGCACCCTGCCTTCAAGCCTCTGAAAACACAAAGCATCGCCCTTCGTGGGCGTAACAGCAGGATGGCCGGTCGCGTCTTTTGTCTCCTCTTGTCTCGGGGCAGGGACTGCACTGGGACACCCTGTCTGGGCGTGTTGAGGTGTTGGGCTGTCCAGGGTCCTTGTGCACTCCAAGGTGACTGGTGTGTGTCTGTCCTGCTCACCTTCGCGCATCATCGGACACCCTCAACCTAGTGTCCCCAGGTGCACAGTGTGGAGGGGACCATGGAGCCCTGCAGGTCAGCACTGTGACGGCAGAATTCAGGACAGATATCTATGGAGGGGGATCATTTGCAAATGCATATGATTCCAGAAATACAGGTACAGCTCACCTGCCAGGGGTCGAAGAAGCCAAAACAAGAAACATGGCCGAGGGGAACGGCTAGGGTGGTCTTCACTGGGAACTATGGGGAAAGCCTTCTTTTTGGGGGGGAGCGCGGCCAAGGTGACCAGGAGGATGTGGGACCGCTTTAACACCACTGCGTTGTCAGTGGAGCTTATGGTTACTGATAAATGTAGGGAATTGACATTTGGTATCACATCTATTCTTGTTAAGTATTGAGAGGTTATGTCATTAATTCTGTGCTGTCAGAAGCTGTTTTCTAGCAAACAGTAGATGGCAGCTGTGAGGTGCCAGTTCCCATCCCTGGCTCAGTTGATGACCCGTGATGCCCCTTCCCTGCGGCCTCAGTTTCCGTGAATTCAGGGAGGGAAATGGACTAGATGACTTCTACAGCCCCATTGGAATAAACATTTATGACTCCAGACAAGTACTCAGCAGCCAAAGTGCATATTTGGTGAGGCCCTTGATGCACAAGGGTTTGGCTAGATGCTTGAAACAGAGCCCCTAAAATGTAGATCATTTGTAGACAACCTACTTGCCTTTTCGCTGGACGAATTTGTATTTACTCAGCTCACAGCACTGTTGCTGCGAAGTATCTTATTGAGCACAAAGCTGTTAAAAGCCCGCTGACCCATCCTCTGGGCAACAGAATTCGAGGAGCAGCTCTGAGGCCCACCTTCCCCGGACATACTTCATCCGAGCAGCCAGAGGAGCCCTGCGGGGCTCAGCTCTCCAGGGGGAGAAACTGCCCTCACGCCTGCCGGAGGCCGTGCGCAACACCGTCCGTCAAGCACTGGAGGGCAGGAGTTCGACAACCCTGAGGTGAAGCTGCCGACTTGTAGATTGTAAACCTGTACATGGGAAGAGAGAGCAAATGAGGACTTAACACATAGTGTGGGTTCATGTCGAGCTTGTATTTTCACAGTCTGAGGGCCGAGGAGGACTGCAGGGGTGTTTTGCACGCACCCTCTTCAGCGAACAAGGAGAGAGCCCCCATGCCCCATGAAGATGAATTTTTAAATGAAAGCACCAGGAAAGCTGTTTGTCTCCCGGCAACATCAGGAACATACGAACTCTTAAGTCCGTGCAGGGGGAGAGACGGCAGGCCCCAGCTCTGCAGCCAGAGAAAGCCAGCAGAAGAAAGTTGTTAGCGAGGAGAGACGACTCAGACAGAGAAGCACAACATAAGACACCTTGATGATGTCCCCTCAAACAGTGCTTTTCCTGCCATAGTTTGGATTCTTTAAAAAAAATATGGAGAAGTCTTCAAACCAGTTTAGGCCAGTTTCCAAGTTGGCTTCGTAGAATCGTCCTGCGCATTCTCAACAGCCAAGGAGCAGGTGGATACCTGGTCGCAGTTCCGACAACAGGAAACCAGTGGCCTTATGATGAGCGAGGGCCTTGGTCTCTGGGCAGCAGCTGCCTCGCTCCAGCCACACGGCAGCACCATCTCTTCCAACGTGCCATGGCCTGGTTTTCTTTGTCATAGTTTTTATTTTTAATTGAATTTATTGGGGTTCTACAGTTCTATGGTATATCATCTGTATATTGTATTGTGTGTTCACCATCCCAAGTCAACTGTCCTTCCATGATTATTTATCCCCCCTTTACCGTCTTCTACCCCTGTCCCCCCTTTCTCTCTGGTAATCACCATGTCTGTGTCTATGAGTTGTTTGGGGTTTTTTGGGTTTTTTTTTTTGGTCTTTAGGGGATTTTATATTTGCTTTCGGAGTGGGGAACGTCCCGCCTGCAGACCCTATAAGGCCCATGAAGTCAACCAGCTAACATCACACGCCTCACCAGTTTAGCCTGACCAAATACAGCAGGCTAATGTTTAAGGTGATAATGTTGTATGGCCTGTGAATGATGTTATACATACCCAAATGGCCCTTGGCAGAGAAAAGGTTCCAGGGTGCCCTTCACCTTTTTCACCTAGCCCCCCAACCTCCCTCCCTTCTGACAGCTGTCGGTCTGTCTCTGTTTTGTTTGTTTATTTTGTTCATTAGATTCCACATGTAAGTGGAATCATATGGTCATTGTCTTCCTCTGACTGGCTTATTTCACTTAGCATATGCGGTTCATCCATGCTGTCACAAAGGGTAAGGTCTTTTTTTTTTTTTTTTTACGGCACAGTAGTATTCCATTAAGAGCTAAGAAAAGAAATGTAGTCGGTCCCAAACCACCACACATAAAAATTCAAATGTGATTTAGCTAAGTATGTAAGTCCTGTCCTGTGGTGACCCGGGAACCAGCATCAAGGCTCCTACCAGTTGCCTGAAACCAAGGGCCCCAGCACAGACGTCTGTGTGGTGGGCTGTTCTCCGCAGCTGAGCCCTGCCCTGGAGCTGCAGCCCTGCCGTCTCCTGCGTAGCTGTGGAAAGTTGACTGTTTTCTGACAAACCAAATTCTGGACAGCCATGCGTCTACAGAGAAGAGCGGGTGGCCGGTTCCCGCCGGGTCACCTACTGGACATTAGGTGCTCACCCCCTGCATTCCTCATCACTCCAGTGAGAGCCAAGATGACGACTGGGTGGTTGTCAGGGCAGCTGTGCATGGCATAGGCCATGTTCAGTATCATCACACCGCTCAGCCTAAAGCTTAAACCCGTGTCCCAACTTCAGACAAACAGCTCCGTGTGCAGTAAATGATGCAGCATCTGCCCTGATTTCTAGGCCTGTAGCTTGGCCTGCACCAGGCGTTAGGAAGGATGGGACTCGGGTGGCCTCCAAGTGGTATTTCATCAAACCAAGGATTAAACACTGATGACATCTTTGTTACTTTAAACTGCAGTTCTCTTGGTAAATATCTCTCACCCTTCCTCCCTCACGTCCCTCTCCTCCCCCTCCTCCTTCCTCTCTCACACTTGCATGCTCACGCTCACACACAGTCACACATGCTCACACAGTCACACATGCTCACACAGTCACACATACACTCACAGTCACACATACACACAGTCACATGCTCACACACACAGTCACACATGCTCACACATAGTCACACTTGCTCACGCTCACAGTCACACATGCTTACATACACGCAGTCACCCATACACACCCTCTCACTCGCACTGGTGTGTTCTCCTGGAATGCCTAACCTTTTTCTATTAAGTGAATGTGTTTTGATATATATATATATATATATATATGTGTGTGTGTGTGTGTGTGTGTTTAATGAAAAGAAAATGTGAATGGTGGTATTTTCAGAAAACTGAGGCTATCTCGGGTTTCTTGAAGTCAGAAAATTTGAAAGTGTTACTCTAGCTCTTTAAGAAACTTCTCTTTTTCATTAAAAAAAAAAAAAAGCAAAGGAAAGCTGCCAGAATAGACTGTTTCTGCATTTCTCTTTTGAAATGAGTCACAAGCGATGAAGAGAGCGTGTGATCACGTTGGTGATGGGCATAAAGGGACGTGGACTGTTCAGGGGCCTTCAGGTTTTTTCCATGTTCCTGTGGGCCTGCAGAGAACCTAAACCTTTCAGCCCATGAAGTACACGGATCAGTGAATCTGTGCCACATCCTTCAACAGCATTACTCCCCAAACCTGTCCCAGGAGGTACTTACAAAACACTTGCTTGTTTGGTCAGCTCCCAGTGACGTGCAAGAGCACGAGGGAACCAGTCGCGCACGTCTTAGCAGTGAATACGCCATGTTTAACCTCCGTGTTTGTCTTATGAACTCTCTTCTGTAATCACTAATGTGAGAAGACCTCAGCATCCCCCTAACTGGAAAATGTAGGCAGTGGGCTGGGGCGGCACTGGGGAGTTTGGCGACCTCGTTATTTCTGTCTACCCTTCATCGAAGTTTATATTTGCCATCATCATCGTGGTGACCTCTCTGAAACCTGCTGTCATTAGATGTTTTCAAAGCCACGTCTTTGAAAGGACTTCCCCAGAGTAAGCACTTTACCAAGGTGAGAGGAGGTCATGTTTTGGGGACTCTCGTGTGTGTTTTCCTCACACATGTGCTGCCGTTTCTTTCCAGAAATTGGCCCTGCCTCTGTGATGGTGGGGAACCTGGTGTCCGGGAAGAGGATTGCGCAGGCCAGCGGCAGAGACCTGGGCCAGATAGAAGACAACGACCAGGCCCGGAAGGTGAGAGCAGAGGGGCCAGCCTTCACTGGGCCCCGCCGTCCCCCTCACGCTGAATTACAGGAGCACCGGCTCCAGCGTCCTGCTTTACCAGCTCAGCGTCTTCTGCTCTTCCCGTCTTGGGTGACCTTTGCTTCCTTCCTGCCTTCCCATTTCTGCAAGAGACACCCATATACTTTTATGAGGACATGTGTATTAGGGGATGCAGTGTTGTGGAACATGCCACGGTGGCACAGAGGGTGGATGGCACCGTCCCACGACGGGCAGGCCTGGGGCCAGTGCCCAGAGAGCTCTGTCCAGCCCTTCGGCCCCTGAGCACTGTGCCCTGTTTCCCGCCAGCCCTGACTGGGCCCTGCACTGCTTCACGGTACAAATGCAAGAAAACATCAGTTCAAACCCAGGTGTGGGAGACAGACCTCCTCAGAGCAGCCTTAGGAACATAGAAGTCCTCTGCCCCCCTCCACCAGAGACACCTCAGTTTGTCACCTGTGGCTACCAGTCCCATTATGACCATTCAGCCTTGAGAACTTTTTTTTGTCCTCACCCAAGGATATATTAATTGATTTTAGAGAGAGAGGAAGGGGGCGGGGAGGGGGAGAGAGAGGTCGGTTGCCTTCCCAAAAGAGCCCTGACTGGGGATCGAACCCGCAACCTTTTTGGTGCACAGGATGATGCCAACTGAGACACCTGACCAGCAGCCTTGAGAGCTCTTAAGGGTCACTCTGTATGGCCGCCATTTAAAATGTTGTGAGTTTGGTGACCCACAGTGACATGTTCACCGAAAGCTGTGGTCGTCGTGTTTCCCGCCCCCCGCACATCTGTTACTAACACGGACGAAGGGTAGACGCAGCGTTTCCTGGATCCTGACAGGGAGGCTGACTTTCCACTAGAACTGTCGGGGTCCGTCTGTGTGGTCGGGGTGCCTGTGACGGACAGCAGGGGTGGCCGTTCTGAACAACAGTTTAAGAGAGCCCATGTTACAACAGGACAGCGCTGACTGCCGCTGCCACCCAGAAATCACCTGGCATCTTCGGAAGGCCCAGGAGGAGGGGGTTTCCACCTGGGGGGACGGAGATGCAGTTCTCCCATCTTGGGCAGATTTCAGAAATCTTCTTCTCCAGGGGCACATCGGAGCCGAACCGTGGCAGGAGAACACGGCACCTGCATTTCCGTCGACCACATCTGCCAGGGCGTCCTTTTCTCTGGAGACGCACCCAGAAAAGCACGCACACAGACCAGACCGCTGTCAGTGTTGAGGGAGCCCCTGAAACCAGGTGGTGTGGGTCTAACGCCTGTGCTTTGTTGCAGTTCCTGTTCCTCGCGGAGGTCCTGCAGTGGAGGGCCCAGACCACCCCCGACCACGTCCTCTACACGCTGCTCAACTGCAGGGTGAGCTGCTGCCACCTGCTTCTCCCTGGGTCCTGCGCCGCCGCTCTTGACCTTGTTCCTGACCTCGTCCTGTCCTGTGGATTCCTTTTAGCTATTTATTTGTTGCTAGCTTGACTGAGACTTTTTCACTTAAGAAGGATTGTTTTTAAATATAAGGGTTTGCACATCTGGCTATCTGTACATATATATGTGTGTGTGTGTGTGTGTGTGTGTGTGTGTGTGTGTGTGTGTGTGTATATATATGCCTATATTTTAGCAATTTATTTGCAATTTCCCCCCCTCCAAAAAAATGAGTAATGAATGAATTCTGCAACCAAGAACAACTGCAGATCTGTGGGATACTTAGGTGTTTGTTTTTATGACCAAACTTCTTTGTAAGTTTTTTATTTTATTTTATTTTTTTCGTTTTTTAATTCTAGACCTTCATTCTTAGGAATGAAAACCATTTCTGTTTTACATGTATACTTAAATACTTTAATTAAATTAAAATTAAAGTTTTAATTTAATTAAAGTTTAATTTTACTTTAAATTTTCTGATGTGTGTTCCCGTCCCCTGACCCCATCCATGTTCACAGTCACTCGCTAAAACTAGACGCTGGGTCTTTGGGGTCAATGATCCACTGGAAATGACGGGGACCCTTAGAAGAGCATTAGAAATAACAGAAAATCACATGGGCGAGCTGTGGAGGTCAAACCACGGGCCTGGAGGACGTGTGGGCCTCAGACAGAGTCCTTTCAGGTGAAGCCCACTGTCCCTGCGGCTCCTGCTGTGGAGGCCTCCCCATCCTGACTACTCACAGGGCGGCATTCGATGCAGCGTCCGAGTCCATCCCCGCCCTCGCCACACGCACGCACACACACCTGCACAGACACCCGGCCTGGACCAAGGTCGCCGTCGTCATTCCATCCCCGCCCTCCCCACACATACGCACACCTGCACAGACACCCTGCCTGGACCAAGGTCACCATCGTCATTTCCATGGTTGTCCCCAGTGCACTTTCCACTTAAATCAACCTAGTTCATCACTGCCCAATAGAAATGTAACGCAAGCCACACACTAATTTTGTATTTTCTTTTCTTTTTATTTATTTTTTTATCCTCACCCAAGGACATTTTTTTATTTTTTGTTCAGATAGAGTGGGAGGGAGAGACAGGAAGAGGGAGAGAGAGAGAAACATCGACGTAAAAGGAGACATCGAGTGGTTGCCACCCATATGACCCAACTAGGGCTGGGGACAAACTGCAACCGAGGTTCATGCCCTTAGCGGGAACTGAACCCGGGTCTCTTTGGACCACAGGCCGACACTCTAACCGCTGAGCCAAACTGGCCAGGGCAATTTTATATTTTCTAAAAGCAGCACTCAGAAAAGATAAAAGAAACTGGTAAAATTCATTTTTTAAAAAAATCCTCACCCAAGGATATTTTTCAATTTATCTTCCAATAGAGTGGGAGAGAGGGAGGGAGAGAGAAAGAGAAACATCAATGTGAGAGAGACACATCGATTGGTTGCCTCTCGCACAACCCCGACCAGGGCTGGGGATCGAACCAAGGCATGTACCCTTGACCAGAATCAAACCCACAGGTGAAATTCATTTTAATAATTTTACTGAATATATCCAAACCATCGTCGTCCCAACACGTGGCCCACCACATGGCCAGCGCTCGGCTCCCCCACTGATGGCGTCAGAGTGTGTTGATTGTGAACTTGGCTCCTGGGTCACGGGTCATTTAACGTGGAGAACCCGTGGTTCCCGAGGGGGGCTTCCTCTCTGCTGCATTTCTGCCCACACGGCAGTGCCGGCAACAGGAGGAGACTTGAGTACAAGATTTGTCGTAGGAAGTGAGGACACAGTTAATTACAAATCACGGAAAACTTACATTCTTGGACCTTGTTTACATACAAAGGAGCATCTGTTTGTTTATTTATTTTTTTAACAGAAACATAAGCCAACTCTTTTAACTTTTCTTTTTACCTGTGGCAGCTTCTTTAAAAATTTTTTAAACTATAAATCCTATTTGGCTTTTTCTTTCCTCAATATTTTTTAGGCATTATTTAATTTAATGGAGCATTTTAAAGCAGTGCTGGAGATACAGTCGTTGATACTGAAACGTGTTGTCTTCAGATGAGGGGCTGGGTGGCAGGTCCCCTCCAGTCCCATCTGCCATGACAGTACCCAAGACCTCCTGTAGGAAGTCAGCCCTGAGTTCTCGGGAAAGAGTCTGTACCAGAGCCTTCTTCTTCAGCAGTAGGTTTCCATATGGAAACCCCACCTTTTCCCTTGACTGCTGATGACCACTGACCTGAGGGTAAACAGCTACTACTTCATGGACCCCCTCGCCCATGACATTTCATGTTTTGTTAACAATGGGCGTGCTGGAGACGAGATGTGTGACTGCAGGTCGTGGTGTTCCTCTAGAGGTGAGAGGCTGGGCTGAGACTTCCACAGACAAGTGGTGATGCACAGTCTGGGACCAAATGTGACCTGTGTCCCAGGTGGGTTCATGAGGTACTAGAGTCATGTCATGTCCAACCTCGAAAACGGGGGACAAGCGGGGAGGAGAAGAACATCGTGTGGGACTTACCATGAAGTAGCCGCTTTCCAATGTGGCACCTCCTTCAGAGATCTTTGGGAATAATTTTGGTCGGTCCCCAGTCAGCCCTTGTGCTGACTCCAGCATGTGACAGGCTCACTGGTTCCTCGCCGTAACTCTGACACGGCAGGCGGTGCTGTGACAACTGAGGTTCCTCACAGAAGGGTGAGGAGCCAATTAGATTAACCTGTTGTAAGTCCGACAGTGGGAGTTTTCATGAACCAGAGTCAAAGCACATGTTCAGGAACACTCCTGACTGCTGTGTCACCGTGCCTCTCGGGTTCCATAGGCTTTTGCTAAGACAAAAAAAAAAATGGTTATTCACAGGGGTCAGCGTCGGCCCTCCAGGAAGTGGGGAGATCAGTTCCCGAAGTCGAGTGGCACAGACCGAGAGCACTTGCTGTTTGAGATCAGTTAGCCATAGAGCACCAGCAGAGTCCATGTAACAGAAGGTCTAAGAGGGCACAGAGGCGCCCAGCCACCAGCGGCGCGGCTGATCCCGTTCACCAGGCAGGAGTGCGGGGCCAGCTTTGTTGGGCACAAGGGGGGGGGGTGCGCGGGGTAGTTCCTGGCCACCAGTCTGGGGACAACGTTGGTCCTGAGCTTTACTTTGAAGAGCGGTAAGGACCTTGGGGTCAAGGGGTATGTTGTTTGGGTAAACAGGTGTGGTGTCTGGAGTGCGTGCGTGGCGGCAGGGTCCTGTCGGAGGTACCGAGCTCTGAGGGTCTGGCAGGAGTTCCGGGCTCCGTTCTCCACCACCTGTGTTTGCCTGGCTTTGCAGCTTCTACTCCTCCGCTCTATCTTTTTCCATTTTCTTATATTTTAACAACCTCAGGAGGAAAATCACGAGGGCCAGTGTGTGTGATGAGAAGGTTTGATTCCAAGGATGTGCGCGAAGCCTGCCCTCTAGGAGAGCAGCCCCAGCTGGGCAGCCTCCGCGGCCCTGCGCGCTGTGCACAGGGCCGCAGAGGACGTGCTGCGTCCCAGGACCAGATGCACTGCCAGCCACTCTGGGGACGTCTTTGGCAAACATCCCCAGGTGCTGGTATTCATATCCCGATGCCTTAGAAAGGGTTCTCTCACCAGTCCCTCCCACTGCACCTCATGCAGGGGTTCCGACAAATGTGTAATTTAGGGTGGGCACTCGAATGTGTTACACACACACACACACACACACACACACACACACACACACGGCCAGTCGCCAGGTCCTCATTGTCCTTTAATAGCATCAAAGGTTCTGATCTCTTCCGCCGGCCACGCCTCCTTCCATGGTCAGCTGCTCACCCCACCTTCCTTTGGACTTCTTCCTCCACACGGCATTCAGGGCCTGGACGCCTGCCGGGGTGTATGTGCAGTCCTGAGACTTCTCCACTCCTGACCCTTCTCTCCCGTCACCCCTCTCTCGCTCGCTCTCCTCGGGCTCTGGCCTGAATGCAAGTGTCTGGTTCAAAGTCAGTGCTCAGCTGCTGGGATCCTCCGGACGTGGATGCTGCTGCACAGTTTTCCTGTAGCTTAAGGACAGGTTCTTAACCCTGTCCATCCCCTTAAGTAGGATTTCATCAGACGGAAGTAGTTTTTAAATAGCTTATAGACAGTGATGTCTTCACACTTGAGATTTTGTGCAACTGAAACATAGTGGTAAAGTGCAACCTCAGGAAAAACTTTTGGGGGTTACTTATATGTTCATAATTTGTAATCTATCCATACTTTTCTTTACAGTTTAAACTCTAAGTCCTATATGTTTTTACATTTCTTAGTACCTATTTTGCTACTGGTCTTCCCTAACAACCCTTTTTAAATTTTATTTATTTATTCTTTGTTGATTTTAGAGAGAGAGAAGGAGAGAGAGACAGAAACATTGATGAGAGAGAGCATCAATTGGCCGCCTCCTGCATGCCCCCCACTGGGGATCAGACCCACAACCTGGGCATGTGTCCTGACCAGGAATCAAACCAATGACCTCTTGGTGCTTGGGTTGATGCTCAACCCCTGGGCATACAGACCTTTTTTACACTACCTGTATTTGTTGATCCAAATGTGTTTTCTATTGTGTGTGTTTAAAAGTCTACAATAAAAAATTTGACAAGGGCTTTTTTTTTTTGCTTTTAGTATTGTTTGTTTTGACCTCCTTGACTTTGATGTGGTTTTCTTTCTTTTAAAAAATAAATGTTTTTATTGATTTTTTTTTAAGAGAGGAGGGAGAGAGAGAGAAAGAGGAACAGATGTGAGAGAGATGTTGATCGGTTGCCTCCCGCACACATCCCAAACGGGGATCAACCCTGCAACCTGGCTATGTGCCTTGACCAGGAATCGAACTAGGAATTGAACCGGTGACCTTCCAGTGCACAGGACAACACTCGACTAGCAGCCACGCCAGCCAGGGCTTTTGTGGTTTTTCTTAATAAACACGTTTAGTCTTATTTTCCAGAGTACAAGTCCTGCAGGTTTGCTGCTAACCTTATTGCCCATGCCTGTTACCCAAGACCCAGAATTACTAGGTTGAGTTTTTAAAATAAGTTTACATGTTTTAAGTCAAGTCATTATTTCTGAAAATATCTCCTGTGAGCACAAGTCTCTCCAGATGCCTCTTTGGTGCTGTACTTCCTGGCTAGTGGGAAGGGTGGGGAGTGACTGCCGATGGTTCGGGGACTTGAGGGGGTGATGGAAACATCGCAAAATCGGCCATGGTGGCAGCACAACCCTGAATGTACTAACAAACACGTAACTGGACATTTGAAGTGAATGAATTGTATGGCACATAAGCTGGATCTCACTAAAGCTCTGAAGTAAATCCGGCTTCCCCACTTGTTCTTGCGACACTCAGGGTACAATAGCCAACTCGCTGACGTGTGTCCAGCTGCATAAACGAGCAGAGAAGATAGCCGTGATGCTGATGGAGAGGGGGCGCCTGCAGGACGGAGACCACGTTGCTCTCGTCTACCCACCAGGTAATGAGGCAGGGCCCGCAGCTGCAGGAGACAGCTTACTGCCCCTGGCGGGGCTTGCCGACTGGAGTCACCGGGCACTGTCACCGGACATTGTCACCGGGCACTGTCACCACCACTTGCAGGGGGTGTGCTGCATACTGTGTGACTTGTAGGGGCATACATGAGTATTTTACAAAGACTTTTGTATCCAAACTTGTTTTATTAGGTCTCTGAGTACGTATTTCATCAATAGTAGTTCAGTTGAGCAGTTCCTCAGAGGAATGACAGAAATCGAACTTTCGGGCTGCTCCGGCATCTCGTGCCTAAAATCACAGGCCAAGGGGAAGTTGGTGCTGAAGCTTCACAAAACCCCCAGGAGGAGAAAAGAACTTGTTAAAGGCCTTTGTTGCCCTCTTAACCTTCTGACTGTTTCCAGGCTAGTAGTTCTGCTGATAGGGATGACAGCCATTCAGTGGTTTGATTTGTTTCAAGGGAGAACCTCTGCTTTTCTTCTCGTGTAGGAATAGACCTTATCGCAGCATTTTACGGTTGCCTGTACGCAGGCTGTGTGCCAATCACCGTCCGCCCGCCACACCCACAGAACATCGCAACGACGCTGCCCACGGTGAAGATGATCGTGGAGGTAACGCTGCCCGGAGGCTCTGGGCGCTTCCCCCTGCCCTGGACCCGAGGGTTGGGCTCGTAGACTCGAGCTGGGCCTTCTGGGAAGGGGTGGTGGTGGGAGTCTGCCACCCAAGTGATGGGGCAGGGTGTGGCCTCTCCCCTCAGGGAGCTGCCATCTCATGCTGAAGCAAGAGGCCACCTTCGCATGCCATTAGGGGCCAGAGCACGGGCTTGCCTCCGTGCCTAGAGAAAGCAGCCCCCCAGAGAGGGCGCCCCTGCAGGCACTGGGAGCTGCCCCAGCAAACCCAACTGCACAAACCAAACCAGATGAACAAGTCACACTTTCTTTTTCATTCTTTCACTATGATTTATAAGTGTCTTTTCTGAAAGCATAAATTTGTTTTAATTTCATTGTGCCTGAAGAAGTGTAAGACGATTAGGACAGGTTTTTTGCTTTGGAGGAGAAACCACAAGAGACAAGTTAGTTTGGGGACCCTTACTTTTTTTTGTAGTCATCTTGGAGAGCTTCTATGTTTATTACTCCAGTTAGAAAACATGGGTGGGTCATTGGCGTGTGTTCATACGCGGGGTTTCCAGTAGGACAGCGAGCGGGTCAGCAGTGAGTTTAGGAGCGCATTTTTCAGGATGATCTTAGCACTGGCTCCCACTCAGCTATAGAAATTTCCAGGGACCTCAGTGTCCGCGATACCAGTGTGGTGCTTTGTGGTCAGACGCCTGGCCCTCTTCCGAGAGGCTGTGGCCCCAGGAGTCCAACCCGCTCTGAAAGCCTTGTGGCCTCAGCACACGTAGTGAGCGACACGCGTGCAGTGAGTATTCGTCTGTGGCTCGCCTCCCTTCACCCATTCTGTTCTCTGACTCTCAGGTGAGTCGCTCTGCCTGCTTAATGACAACACAACTGATCTGTAAATTGTTACGGTCCAGGGAGGCAGCTGCAGCCGTCGATGTCAGGGCGTGGCCCCCCATACTGGACACAGGTCAGTCCTCAGCCTAGCTGGGTGCGTTTACTTCTCTGCTGTCCCATTCGGTGGGATGTGCTAATATCTTCACTTCGTTTGCCAGATGATTTGCCAAAGAAGCGGCCAGCCCAGATCTACAAGCCCTCCAACCCGGACACGCTGGCTTACCTGGATTTCAGCGTATCCACGACTGGAATGCTAGCTGGAGTGAAGGTGAGGAACTGGGTCCACCCAGTGTGCAGTGAGCCCACACCGCGATGCCGTTGACCTTCTGTGTGGGGACCAGGTGGGGACCCGCCGCGGAACGTGGGGCGAGGTGTACATGTGCATTTCATTCAAGCTATAAACGCGTGGCCACTTCAGTAGTAACCTACGCTGACTGATTCTTTCCAAATGTTCTTTTTTTTTTTTTTCTTAAGGAAACACAGCCTAACTGGTCCCTACTAAAAAACAGCATATGCTTTTCTTTCCTACTGGTTCTCAAATCCAAATAGTATTTCTGTTATAAAAGTGTGCACTACAGCTTCTTGCTTTTTGACATCGGTTCCGTCGTGAGTTGCCAGATTGCTGCTGGCTGCAGCTGCCGTGAGCCTTTTCCTGTCAGAGAATGGGGCTGCTCAGTGTGCCAGCGCTCGGCCGCCCGCTCAGGGGGCGTTCTTACCGAGACTGTGAAACGCTCTGTAGCCTCTGGAAGCCCTTTCCCTCTCACTTGCCTCTGGGGTCTGACTGCTGAGTTTGCATAATTTACCTCACTTAGTTCTCTTACTCTATCTACTCCAATTTTTCTTATTTTAGTAGAACACACACAACATAAATTCCCATCTTAGCCCATTTAAGTGCACAGTCAGTGGTGTTAAATACATTCAAAACGTCGTGCTGCTGTCGCCCCTGCCCTGCTTGTGAAACTGAGACCTGTCCCCATTAAACACGGATCCCACCACCCTCTCCTGAAGCCCGGAAACCGCCATGCTTCCGGCCTCTCTCATGTTTATACTCGTCATACCTCGTGTAAGTGGAACCGTACAGTATATGTCCTCTTGTGTCTGGCTTATTTCACTCAACACACTGTCCTCATCCATGTTACAGCATGTGTCAGAGTTCCTTTTTTGTTTTTTAAATCCTCACTCGAGGATATTTTTTTATTGATTTTTTAGAGATAGAGGAAGGGAGAGGGGGAGAGAGAGAAAAAAATATTGATCAGTTGCCTCATGCACACACTGCAACCAGGATCAAACCCACAACCCGGTTATGTGCCTTTCCCGGGAATCGAACCTGTGACCCTTCAGTGCTTGATGGAACAATGCTCCAGCCACTGAGCCACACTGGCCAGGGCTGTCAGAATTCCTTTTTAAGACTGAATATTATTCCCTTGCATGTTTATACCACTGTTTGCTTATCCACTCATACATCAGTGGACACTTACTTGCCTTGCTTGCATGTGTCAGCTGTTGTAACTAACGCTGCTGCGGATGTAGTTGTGTATATATCTGTTTGAGACACCACTTTCAGTCCTTTTGGTATGTACCCGGAAGTGGAATTGCTGGATCATATGGTAATTCTGTTTGTAATTGTTTGAAGAATGGCTGTACTGTTTTTCACATTGTCTGTACCATTTTACCTTCTCACCAGCAGTGCACAAAGGTTCCAAATTCTCAGCATCCTCACCAACACTTATTTTCAAAGTAGGTATCTTAGTGGGTGAGGTTTTGTCTCATTATATTTTTTATTTGTATTTCCCTACTGATTAGTGACAGTGAGCATCTTTTCATGCAATTATTAGCCATTCATGTATCTTCTGTGGAGAGATGTCTATTCAAGTCTTTTGCCCATAAATAAGTATTTTTGTTGTTGAGTTTTAGAAGTTCTCTATTAATCTCTTAACAGATATGTGATTTGCAAATATTTTCTCCTGTTCTTTGGGTTGCCTTTTTACTCTGTAGATAGTATCTTTTGATGCATAAAATTTTAAATCTTTATCAAGTTCAATTTTGTTTATTTTTTGTTGGTGGTGGCACCTTTGCCTTTGGTGTCATGTCAAAGAAATCATAGCCAAATCTACTGTCATATTTTGCCCCATATTTTCTTCTAAGAGTTTTATTGTTTTAGATCTTGCATTTAGGTCTATGATCCATTTGCGTTAATTTTGTATATGGTGTTAAGTAAGACTCCAGCTTCATTCTTTCACATGTGGATATCTAGTTGTCCCAGAACCATTTGTTGAAGAGACTGTCCCTTTCCCACTGAGTGGTCTTGGCTCACTTGTATAAAGTGTTCGACCATATTTAGAAGGGTCTATTTTGAGGCTATATTCCATTGGTTAATGTGTCTGTCTTTATGCCAGTACCACACTATATTTTATTGTTGTAGTTTTGTAGTAAGTTTTGAAATCAGGAAGTGTGGGACCTCTAGCTTTGTTCTTTTTCAAGATTGTTTTGGCTATTCAAGTTTCATTGAAATTCCATCTGAATTTTACAATGAGTTGTTGTTTTTCTGCAAAAAACATCATTGAGATTTTGATAAAAATTCCATTGGCTCTGTATTGTTTTGGGTAGTCTTGACATTTATGAATATAGGATATGTTTCTATTTGCTTATTTCTTCTTTAATTTATTTCAGGAATATTCTATAGTGTTCATTGTACAACTCTTGCACCTCCTTGGTTAAGTTAATTTCTAAGTATTTTATTCTTTTTTTATGCTATTGTAATGGGAACTATTTTAATTACCATTTCAGATTTTTCATTTAGTATGTAGAAATGCAACTGACTTGCATTTTTACTCTTTTCCTGCTACTTTGCTGAATTCATTTATGATCTGTAACAATTATTTTGTGAAATCTTTAGGATTTTTTACATATAGGATCATATCATCTATGTACAGAGATACTTCTTCCTTTCCAATTTGGATGCCTTTTATTTATTTTTTCTTGCCAAATTGCTCTGGCTAAAACTTCCAGTACTTTGTTGAGTAGAAAGGGTAAAGGTGGGCATCCTTGTCTTGATTCTTATCTTAGAGGAAAAGTTTTCAGTCTTTCACAGTTGAGTATGATGTTTGCTATGGGTTTTTCATGTATTGCTTATATTATGTTCTGGTACTTTATTCTATTCCTAGTCTGTTGAGTGTTTTTATCATGAAAGGATGTTAAATTGTCAGATGCTTTTTATGTATCAAATTAGATGATCACATGTTTTTTTCCCCTTTATTCTCTTAATATGATGTATTATATTAATGGATTGTCATATGTTAAGCCATCCTTGCATTCTAGGAATAAATCCCGCTTGGTCATAATGTATAATTATTTTATTATGCTGTTGAATTTAAGTTACTACTATGCTCACCTAGTATGTTGAGGATTTTATCCCAGTGTTCATAAGGCATACTGACTGATCTATAGTTTTATTTTCTTTTTTAAAAATATTTTTTATTTATTAATTTTTAGAGAGAGAGGAAGGGAGAAGGAGAGAAAGAGCGAAACATCAATGAGAGAAAACACCGATTGGCCGCCTCCTGCATGCCCCTCAGTAGGGATTTGGCCCACAACCTGGGCATGTGCCCTGACCGGGAATCAAACCAGCAACCTCTTGGTGTATGGGTCGATGCTCAACCACTGAGCCACGCCTGCTGGACGATCTATAGTTTTCTAGTAGTGTCTTTGTCTGGCTCTGGTATCAGAGTAATGCTGACTTCACAGAATGAGCTAGAAAGTGTTTCGTTCTTTTCAAAATTTTTGGAAAAGTTTGGGAAGAAGTGGTATTAGTTTAATGTTTGTAGAATCACCAGTGAAGCCATCAGGTCCAGGGCTTTTCTTTGTTGGGATTTTTTTCTGATTTGATCATTTTATAAGTTAGAGGTTTATTCAGATTGTATATTATTCATTATGTAGTCTTGGTAAGTTTTGTGTTCCTTCTTGATAGTTTGTGTTTCAAACTTCATAAAATGAAATTTCTCTATTTCATGTAGGTTGTGCAATTTATTGGTGTACAATTGTTTATAGTACTCTCTCTTAGTTCTTTTTATTTTTGTAGAATCAGTAGTAAATGTCCCAATTTCTATTCCTGATTTTAGCAGTATGAGTCTTCCCTCTTTTTTAATTAGTCCATCTAGTTAGATGTTTGTCAATGTTGTTGAGCTTTTCAAAGAACCAACTTTTAGTTTCATTATCTCTATTATTTTTTATTCTTTATTTATTTATCTTGCTCTAATCTTTATTTCTTCCCTTCTGCTAGCTTTGAGTTGTTCTTGTTCCCATTCCTAAAGTTGTAAAGTTAAGTTGTTGATGTGAGATCTGTCTTGTTTTTGTTGTTGTTTTAAATATAATCATTTATAGCTATGAATTTCTGCTTTAATACTGCTTTTCCTGTGTCCATAAGTTTCGGTATGTTGTGCTTTCATTTTATTTGTGTATAATTATTTCCTGACTTTCCTTGTGACTTCTTTGATCCATTGGTTGTTTAAGAGTGTGTTGTTTGCGCCCTGGCCGGTTTGGCTCAGCGGTTAGAGCGTCGACCTGCGGTCCTGAGAGACCCGGGTTCGGTTCCTGCTAAGGGCACGTACCTCGGTTGCAGTTTGTCCCCGGCCCTGGTCGGTTGTGCGGGTGGCAGCCACTCAATGTGTCCCTTTCACGTCGATGTTTCTCTCTCTCTCTCTCTCTCTCTCTGTTCCTCTCTCTCCCTCCCATTCTACCTGAACAAAAAATGGGAAAGTGTCCTCGGGTGAGGATAAAAAAGAAAAGAAAAGAAAAGAAAAAAGAAAAAAAGAGTGTGTTGTTTGAATTCCACAAATTTGTGGGTTTTCCATTATCCTCCTGTTACCAGTTTCCAACTTTATCCTGTTGTGGTTAGAGAAGATATTTTGTATATCTGTTTTTTTAAAAGCTATTGATTGAGACTTGCTTTGTGGCTTAAAATATGGTTTATTCATGTATGTCAATGAGGTGATCTTCTGTCAGTCTTTCCCTTTATGTCCATCAAGGTTTGTTTTACATATTTTAGGTGTTCCTATGTTGGGTGCAAAAATGTTTACAAGAGTTATAGTCTCTTGTTGGATGCTCCCTTTATCATTATGTGGTGTCCTTTTTTGTCTCTTACTATAGCCTTTGTTTTAAAGTCTAGTTTGTCCGATGTAAGTAGTGCTACCCCAGCTTTTTTTTTTTTTTTTTTTTTCATTTCCATTTGCATAAAATATGTTTTTCTATCCCTTTTCTTTTAGTCTACGT